TGTAACGAAATGGCTTGCCCGAGTATCTGGCGGTCATCGGAGATTCCGCTTTACCGGCTTTCTTTTGGGGCTGAAGGATCGATCATTCGCAGCGTTGTAAAAAAATGACCTGGGATGGGAGAGGCCAATGTAATCCAGTTCAACAGCAATCTCTGGTCGAGACCACCTTAGCTCGTCCTAGTGCTTTTCCTATGGTCGACGGGGTATTTGGTCTTGTGTGAGTGCCTCCAACACAAGGAAGGCATGCACGCTAAAAGAAAGCTGCATGCATGCATTTAAAATAGCTATTTGGTAGCCTAAGAGTCAGGTCCAAGCACGTAAACCATTGCTGCAACATTGTCATCGTGGCTTATATGGTGCACGCCATCAAGATACTCGCGGATGCCGAATGACAGGTAGCATTTAAATCGCAAGGACTCGTCTGCTGCCTTTACGCAAAGGCAGTGAGGTCAAGCAATCATCGATCGGGACATGAGCGCTACAATTCCATCCGTCCGTCGAGTAGCCGACGTGGTCGCTCCAGCCCTCTTCTCAAAACTGGCGGTTCGACACTCTCAGGAAAGTGTCGATGCCGTGAAAGAAAGTATGACATCGTGTACGTTAGTAACAATGTCTGCCAGGCCATTTCCCCTTGTTTGCCGCATAGTTTTCATACTTTCTTTAAAAGTTTAATGTGGACACACTACCAGTACAATATACACCGGCACAGTTTGCCTTCGCGCCATTTATTTACGCCTTACCTTCTCAGGCGTCTCCCTTGCGCAGCCCTTTCCCGATCAGCAGCACCTGCAGGAGGGTGTACGTAACATACAATATGATCAAGGGCCACGCCAACCCCTTGCCCACTCGGAAACCACTGCAATACCCCACTACCAAATTAGTGCCCAGAGCCAGGTATAAGAAGGACAAGGAGATGTAGGCGCTGTCGTCAAAATTCAGACTAAAGGGACCGGTCCGGAAAACTTTCCACAGGAAGGAGCAGCCCAATCCCATCAACAGATTAAACGTAGGCCCTGCGAAGCAACCCGCAATGGCCATGTCCCCCAGCCCGGCCCGTGCCACTGCCATGTTCGCGATTAAATCTCCGGCACTGTTGCCCCATGCCAGGAGTGTTAAACCCAGGAGGGAAGGAGGGAGGGAGAGGAGTGTTCCCAAGGCCGTCACGACCGCCACCAGCTCCGCCGCGATCGCGTAGATCCAGGCGGAGCACATGACGAAACCCGTCACGGCCAAGGCGAGTACGTAAGGGTGAGCCGTGGGCGGGCGGGACACGTGCGTGGTCTGCCGGATAAAAATAGCCCCTGCCACCCCTACCGCCAGCACTATCAGCGGCACGGGAAAGGCACCTTGACCGACCGTGGCCGTCAAATTCCCACTGGCCTGGAGAAGGAACAAAGGGGCAAACACGGCACACAAAGAGGCGTACCGTCGTGACCAGGCTTCTTCTTCCACCAGGGGGATCGTCAAGTTCCGGGCGAGCAAAAATGGAAAATGCAGGAGGGTGAAGACTTTCTTGGGGAGGGACTGAACCAGGAATTGCGAGGCATGAACTTCCCGGAGCAGAGCCCTACGGAGGCGCCACTGGTGCCAGTACATATTGTCCCAGACCGAATTGTGCCGCCGATGACGATGGACGGGGACGGAGGGGGAGCAAGGAGGGCGGAAGACGCGTACTTTCTGCCCGGTGGAGGGGGACGTGGAGGCGAGAGGGAGAGAGTTTTCGTTAAGGGAAGAGGCAGAGACCCGGTAGGCTTCCTCCTTTCCCAGGGCCGTGGAGAAGGGAGTGAAGGAACGTTTGGTGCTGCTGACACCGGCTGTCTGGCCGCTGCTCCTGCTGTGCGGGCTGTGGCGACTGGAGGGGGATGGGGTCGTCTGCGATGTGAGAGGCTGTCGGGAGCGGCCTTCCTCCGAGGTAGGGGCGGAGGGAGGGGAGGACGCGAGCAGGTCTTTACCATCCAAACATGCCCTCGCCTCCGAGCCTCCCTCGTCGATGAAGTACTCGCTGATCAAACTGTGGGTGAAAGGATGTCTCCCCGCCTCCAGGTTTTGGTTCCGCCGTCGTTTTCGTTCGGAACGCTCTTCCTGCCCTTCCTCCATCCGGGGTGCCTCTCCTTCCTCCTCCTCTCCTTCGCTCTCGCTCTCGCTCGACACCTCGTCTTCGTCCAACAGGAGGAAATCGTGCGTCAATTTGTGCACGCTGGCCGTTTCGGTCGCCCGATGGAACTCCGAAATGTCCGAGGGGGTGAACCAAAAGGCCGAGGTAACCCCGGAGGCACCCGCCCCTCCCTCCAGGCTCGCCCCACACTCCCTTCCCTCGTCTCCATTCACATTCAGAAACAAAGAGGACGCCGCCATCGCCCTCTTTCGGGCCCGGTCAAGGTACAGCACCACCAGCACATATGTGGCGTAAAGGGCGATGTAGACGAGGCCCAGGCCCCAGGTGACCCGCCCGTAGAGCGCCGAGGCCGTGAGGAGGATATTGGCCAGGACCTGGAAGAATATGTCGCGGGCGAAGGCCTGAGGACGCACGGTGGCCGGGTGGAGGAGGGCGACGGCTCCAACCACGATGCTGGTGACAAAGACCGCGGCCCCCAGGATCTCGCAGACGCCGACCAGGACCACGGAGGGGTCCGAGGACGAGAAGGCGGCGATGGAGGAGAACACGTCGGGAGCACCGTTGCCCAAGGCTAGGAATGTGACGCCGGCCACATCGTAGGTTAAGTTCAACTGGAAGGAGGGAGAGGATGCGGGAGACGGGCCAAAGGGATGGAGAGGCCGCACTTGAAACACAAGGAGCCAGGAAGCAGGAAGAAAAAAATAGGAAACAACGTTTTTGCGCCCCTTTTATCTGCCGTACCTCTTGTCTCTGCGGTCAGATTGCTGTATGGTCACGTACCTTGTCGGAAAGTGTCGCCAAGGTAGGGGAGAAATAGGCATCTGCCGTGTGTCCCATCAAGTAGGTGACGAAACATCCCCATGCCAACAAGCATGGAAAAAACAACCATCCATTCTCCTTGAATCCGCAGTGGTACATGTAGAGATAGTCTATGCCCAGGGGCCCGACGTCTGGGCCGGCGCCATCCTCAGGTTGCCGCCAGACGCATCCCCCCGAAGACCCGTCGGCCATGTCAAGTGGACAAAATTTGACGTGGCAGGAAGACTGGCAACACCAGCAACCGGTGAGTCACGGAAAATTGCCCTGAACGAGGGCAGAATTTCGGGCTTCTTGGTATTTCCGTCCTATTTTACCTGTAGAAAGAAGGGGGGGGGGACAATGTGAGGCGGGACGGGAGATCAACAAGTGGAAAAGCCGTGCCCAAACCAGTCTTTGCCGGCGCACTACGCTACAAACAGAGCCTTTCATTCCTTTGTTCATCGTGCCATGGATCCCTCCGGGAACATTTTCAACAACACCGCCCGACCTGGGGCACAACCCTTTTTATAACTCTCCTGGGGTAAGCATTCATCGCGACACCCGTCTGCAGCGTCTGAGCGAGCCGGAGACAAGTATCTAGACGAGGACCGTCGTCCTTACCAGATCAGAAACACCAGGCAGAAGCGCCCAGAGCGCCAGGAACCACGTCCCACGGTGGCTGGTTTTCTTGTGCATGGCGTGCCATGCTGTATTTCTCATGTTTCTCTTTCACAGCACAGAAAGTTGCGAGCCTTCCTGGGCATTCTTTCCATCGTGCAGTCTCCGTCTGCCGTAGCCGGAACTTTCGTTGCGTACCGTTACAACACCAACAGCGTCAACACAACCATGACGCCGATGAAAACCACGATCGTTCTTGTGGTCTTGGCCGTTGTGGGCCTTGCGTTCTGTCCGACAAAGGTGAGGGCGTTCCGACCGACCTCCTTCCTCCCGGCTTTACACTCCAAGTTTCCCACGAGCACGCCTCGGCCTCTCCGCACTCGGACCCATGCTGTGCAAATGAACCTAGCAGATCGATTCTTCCGTGTTGTAAAAGCAAATTTGAATTCCGTGCTGCAGAATTTGGAGGACCCTGAAAAGATTTTGGAACAAGCGGTCGAAGACATGCAAAAGGACCTGATCAAAATCAGGCAGTCTTACGCGGAGGTATCGGCCACGCAGAAGCGGATGGAGCGTCAGAAAGAACAGGCTGAGAACTTGTCGAGCGAATGGTACAAACGGGCCCAGCTGGCATTGTCCAAGGGGGACGAGGAGCTGGCCAGGGAGGCATTGAGCAGACGGCAGCAGCAAGTGGAGGTGGTGTCGTCCCTGGGCGAGCAAATGACGATCCAAGCGGGGGCGATTGACAGACTCTTCAACTCGATGCAGCAGCTGGAAGCCAAGATTTCGGAAGCTAAGTCCAAGAAGGACCAGATGATTGCCCGGGCCCGCACGGCGAAGACAAGCGAGAAGGTCAACGACATGCTCTCCTCGGTGTCCGGAACTTCAAGCATGGACGCCTTCGAACGGATGAAGGAGAAGGTAGAAATGCTGGAAAGCAAGGCTGAAGTGGCGGGGCAGTTGGCGGGTGTCTCAGATTCTTCCTTGGAAGGGAAGTTCAAGTTGTTGGGGGAGAGCAGTGCGGTGGATGACGAGTTGTCGAAGATGAAGGGCATGATCGGACAAGGGGAGAGGAAAAGCGCAGGTTTCTTGCCTCCGGGGATGGCGGAGGCAGAGGTTGACTCTGAGTTGGAGGCCTTGAGAAAGGAAATGGGCCAGCGATGAACGAGGAGAAGGGGAGACGTCGAGGGTGAGAAGCGGGGGAAGGGGGGACAGAGGAATTCGGGGGCATCACTTTGCTCTTGTTGGCTGTATATCGCGGGTGGCAGAGTGGTGATAAAGTCTGATGTCCGAGTAGGTAGCTTTGTCGGAGCCCATGGAAGGACGTATGAACGGTAGATGAGAGAGGGCAGACTCGCGGGCCTACGCACAGGCATTGGCATGTTACACTTTACGTTTGTTCATTTTTGGGGCATGTTTTAAGAAGGCCAGATAGAAGAAATGTACACTCCTTCGCCGCATCACTGCGGTGCAACTCCTTTCCCTCGCTTTCCCTCCTCTCCCGGGCCTCAGAGCAAGATCTTATACTTCTCCGAGGGGGGCACCGCGTTCACCACGACCCGGCCGTCGTAGGACAGCGAGGCGAAAAGGAAGGGGTCGCAGGCCGACCAGTCCACGGCGTAGACGCTCTCCTCGTGGTCTTGAATCGCCAGGACCCGCACGTCCGGGGCCTCTGGGCCCTCCTCCGGCTCCCACAAGGGCGCGGAGGAGATGGAGGAGATCCGCCACAGGTTCACCAGGTTGTCCGTGCCCGCACTCAGGAGCAGCTGGTCGTGGCAGGGGTTGTACTTGACCGTCCAGACCCAGTGGGCGTGCCCGGCCAGGCGCTTGACGGGGCCCTGGCCTGTCCGCCGGATATCCCAAAATTTGATGAGTCGGTCTTCCCCCCCCGTGACGAAGCAATAGGGCTTGGCATGGTTGAAATCCACGTCTTTGACACCGAATCGATGACAGAAACCGCTGCTCTGCTCCGTTTCCGTCATCCCTGTGGCTTGCTCCATCCGCATATCCAAGTGTCTAATGCCTCGACCCTGGGCAATCGCTACTTTCCAAGGGTCGTGCGGGTCCCATACCGCGGCCTGCACCTCCCCCTTTTCCTCCACGCCGAGGTCGAAATTACTCATTTCCTGGGCGTCGCTGCTTCCTTGAAGAGCGTAAAGTCTGGCCTTCTCCCCATCCACTGCCAGCACCTTACCATTGGTTTCTTGCTCCGGGCCCCATAACACGCACCGTACGCGCCCTCCTCCGCCTCTGCTTTTGTTGGCATCATTGTCTACCGGTAAAGTTATCAAGGGCTCCATAGATTGATCACGACTGCCTTTTATAAGCCTGTGTTGTGCTTTGGTACTCTTTTTCGCTCCCTCTCCTGCCAAAAAGGATGTCGTAAATGCTTGCTGGGTCGGAGAATGGCGAGTGGTTGACCGCGGCACATCTCCTGCATCTTTGGAAGGAGAGGAAGGCGGAGAGTGCGGGAACTCGGGTAATGATAATCGCCACAAGGTACAGAGGGGATCGGCGCCTCGACGAGTAGAGCTTGTAAAACATAGAGAAGAATCTCGAGGGGAAGGACTAATGTGCCATATCTCGCCAGGATGAGAATAAGCACTTGCTTCTCTTAATTTATTGGTCTCTTCGGAATATTCTAGGAGGAGAAGCTCGTTTTGGGGATAGTCACGTAAGCCCGCGGCCCCAACGAAGAAGCGATGGTGTTCGTGATCCCCTTTAACAGCTGCCAAACAACGGGATTGATTCTTGGCTCCATAGACGACGGCACCCGAATACATGACCTGTATGCGTGGTAGATAGATAAGTGAAACAGAATTTTAGACAGCCGTGGACGTGGTGAAGGGTTTCTGAGTCGTAATGGTCACGATTATGGCAGCTTGTGTCCTGCCGTTACCGTGCCGTTGGCGAGCCGTTAAATGTTGTCGGAGAAAGGAGACCCGACAATCGACATGATACCTCAGCTCTTTACAAGTTCAAACGTTGTCCAGAATATCAGGCTTATTAAACACAATAAAATGATTCAAAATTTACCTGTTACAAACCTGAGCTATCATGCAGTATTAATGTGCGTCCTGCATCTGCCTCATGCAGAAGGCAGAGAAGAGCCAACCTCCTGTGTCCGATTAGGTATTTCCCTCTCCGCGTATATCATTTATTTCCTTCCGAGTAACATCTCTTTACTGGTCTTCCATGGTAAAATATATTTATTGAGGAAAGCTCCGTACTGTCCGACCATTGAAAAGAAAGGCCACCGCGGCGACGGACATCAAAGATATGGACTCTCTTCAGTGGCCACCGTTGGTCAAAGAAGAGCTTGTATGTCTGTGTCAGTTAATGGAATGTAAATCCGCAAAGCCGACCCATACAGACTATGTAATATGGTCTTATTACTCATAAAATCTAAATGAAAGTGGGAAAATGGTCGTCCGGCCAGCCGTCCTTTCAAAGCACGTGTAGGTGAAGGAGAGACGTTTTCCTGCTCTCCTTGGGAAGTAACCAGGTGTGTAAATCTTCTGCATCATCACCAACAAATGAACGACACCATATTTTTTTTAAGATTACCTTTATTTGCTGTTCACAGAGAAGTTTTTTTGACAACACATTTTCATTATGCTGTCCGGTCATGGACCGCTAGCAACTTTATCAATTCAGCTTCGTTAAAAAAATTATAATTCTTATCTTTGCCGACTCCCAGTCTTCCCGCATTCCGGCCTTGATCTGCTACAAAATCTACTCGTATAGGCCCTTCGGTGCCGAGCTCAGCACAGCAACAATGAGGATCTACTTCGCATCTTATGGTTGGAAGAAAGGAGCCGCATGTTGGTTTTATTGCAGCATTTGAGATACTTCATCCTAGACAGCGAAACCATCACAAAATTAGACACACGGTTCAGATGGAGACACAAGGCAAATGTCGACAAAGTATGTATCAATAGACCAAGGCAAGCCTGGAGATGTACTTACTTGACCCATGTCGTCGTGACAACCCCCTCCAGTCCGCCCCAGTCCATGCCATCTAAAAAAGTGCCGGGTTGGACGCGTACGAGGTCACCCACCTCAAAATCACGCACCATGCTCCCGTCCCTCATTTTAACAGATCCACTTCGGTAGCGCCGGCTTTTGACACTCAAGTAATGCAGCGGCGTGACCTTCCAGCCGGGCACGAAGTTCAACCTCGAAAACGATGCAAGGGATATTACTCGGTGCTGTGCAACCACGACCGAAAAGGCGGAAGTGGACGCCCTTAATCCAAACAAAACCAAAACGTCGATCAGCAATATCGCATGCCTCATTTTTGAATGGAAGGAGAAATCATCCGGTCTCGGTATGCCGTCCCTCATTTGGCTGTAAAAGCACGCCTGTGGAAGAGAGATTGATCAGAAAATAACCTCCCCTCTTCTTTGCAATCTCGTTCCTCCTACTGTGCCTCTGCTCGCGCGGTGTATATCTGCTGTAACACGTCAAGCAATCACCAGGATACTTTCAAAGCACTCGTATGCCATCTAGTTTGGAGTTTCACAGTGCGAGCGCGTGAAGGCGTCGTTGAAGAAGCGGGCGACTGCCTTGTGGGCGATGTTTCTCAGCGCTGGACTTGTGAGACACGTGCTCTTCCGTACAGCAGGCTATAAAGGTTTAAGTGGATAAAAATCGAGCGAGAAAAAGATTTGGGCGCATTTTCTTGTCAAACACTGCAAGTAATTGCTGTAGAGTACATAATTTCTTGCCATGTAGAACGGATTAAATATGCGCCGATCGAATGCCTTGTATCGAATCTCAATCCTCCTCAAATATCTTACGTATAAGTAACGAAAACATTCCCAAAATGCACTCACGTTGATTGTTCATCACCAATTCTTTGTTGTGCTCCAGCGCACAAGTCCCCCTGGACGGGGAAACGACAAACATAACATTTTGAGCCCGTCTGGTCTATCTGACCAGTTCGTGCTCGCCCGAATCTCTCCCGCAAGCTCCATCAATGCAATTACGAGCAAAGCAAGTCTTTACCTATAGGCTTCATATATACACACATTTCAAATAATTAGACATATCATAGCCCCGCAACGGACGGCAAAAGGCACCTTAAAGGCACCTTGGCGTTTGCGTACTACTTACTATACCAGCACATTCGCAGACACATGCAACAGTGATCACTCTTCCCGCATGTGTCTCGATGTAGAAATGTACTCAGATATATTCTCACACAAGTCTCAAGCCTCTCTCAAGACCACCTCGAAGTCCGAATCATTCCTTCTGCCAACACATCGCATCCCTAGGCGATATACGCCCCTGGCCGCGTTTCCCTTACCGGCCCTTCTTTTTCTCCTTCCCTGTCCTCGTGTCTTCATACATACGTCCGGCTGCGGAGGATGTGCGCCATAACGCCCCATACTAATGTCCAGGCAATGCCTATCACGCCCTGGCTCAGCTTTCGGCCCATCCATCGCTCGAGCGCCCGCGCCTCTAGCCCCCCTTCCTCCCCCCGGAGCCACTCCTGCCTCCGCAGCAGCAGCTGTCTCGCGTCTCCCCCTCCTTTATCCTTCCTCCTCCTCCTCGCTCCCCGCCCTCCCCTAACGCGTCCTTCCCGCCTGCCTTCCTCCCCCCCCGGGCCCGCCAAGGGGCTGTCCACCAACTCCTCCAACAAGAGCCCGTCGTAGACTTTCACCTCGGGCAGAAACCCGCCCTCCACCCCTCCTTCCCTCACTTCCTCATTCTCCTGCCCCCCACACCCTTCCTCCCCCGCCCGGCCTCCTTTCATCACCTTCTCCAACGCCATTAAGCCCAGCGCGTGGAAATCGTTCCCGGTCAAGTCGATCGCGTGCAAGCGTGCCAACGCAGGCGCTCGTCGCAACGCCGCGGCCAAGGCATGCATCCCCGCGTCCCCAATGCTGTTGTTCGACAGCTCCAGCCGTTCCAGCGTGGCCATGGGCTCTTCCTCCCTCCCCCCTCCCCCTCCCTTGCAAACTTGCTCGGCAAAGGCTACCATGCCCGTGTCCCCGAGGTCGTTCCAGGCCAAGTTTAAGCATTGAAGCGACGTGGTTTGGGCGGTCATGACCCGAGCCAAGGCCATTGCCCCCGGCGCCGCGACCCAATTCCCCGACACATCCAGACGACGCAATCGAGAACAACGTCCCTCCTCCAAGGCCCGCCCCAAGGCCTGGACTCCTCGGTTGCCCACGTAGTTCTTGCTGAGATTCAGGCTTGTCAAGCAGGAGGCAGGACTGGCCACAGGAGCCCCGGCAGACAAGGCGGCTGCCAAAGCCTCCACACCTGCATTTCCGATTTTGTTGCTTTCTAATTCCAAACGTGCCAAGCGGGGCAACTTCCCAGGGCCAATCACCAGGGACGCGAAGGCCTCCAGGCTCTCGTCCGTCATGCCCGTGTAGCTCAGCCACAACTCCTCCATGCGCGCCCCTGCCTCCATTGTCGCCAACGTCTCACACAGCAAACCTCGGCTGCCTCTCGCCGCTTCTCCTTCCCGCCTGCTCTCCCCCACGGAGCCCAGATCGTTGTCAGCCAGGTCCAATACCCGGAGGTATATCCCCGCCCCGGTCAAGGCGGTCAAAAGCCTGGCCACCCCTTGTGCCGTAAATTGGTTTTGGGAGAGCTTCAAGACACGAAGCCGAGAAAAGGGGCCAGAAGAGGTGGTGGCGAAGGAAGAGGAGGAAGGGGAAGAAGATGA